GTGTTATGCTTGGCAACTGGAGCAAACGTCTCTTGATAATCGATTCCATATGACTGGGTGAACCTTTTAACAACAAGTCGTGCTTTGTAGCGATTCACACTACCATTAGGATTGTATTTAGTGGTGAAGATCCTATATCAGAACTTACAGCAAGATTCAAGACCCTCTAAACCAGAAGGAAAAGAAAAAGGAGATATTTTAACCTTCATGGATGACAGATAGAAAAAGAGCTTTAGAAGTGTTCCTCAACTAGCTGCTATGGAAAAAGAAAAAAGAAAAAAAACCTAATGGCCAAAATTTTTCTTACCTTCCAAAAAAATTAGGAATTTATAAGATGATAAATGATATTCATGGAAACTTGGCAGTAAAGAAACCATTAGATCCTGGAACAGGTATTGGACGAGTAGCAGGGAAGGGAGGTTGAAAAACTGGAATGTGGCCAGGCATTGCATATGGCTGCTGACTACTGGCTATGAGAGGTTGGGGTACACACAGCTGTATTGCTTGACCTGGTGCAGCTCCTGCCATAGAAAGTAAACAGCACCACATAAAGAGTTAATTCATCGTTCAAAATCATTTCTCTGGTCTTTCACGGTCTATGGAACAATGTCCTTTGCAGCAACATAGCTGGAATGCATATCAAACTTACTAGATAACCAACTCATACCTTGGTGTTTGGAAATTGAACCTGATGTGTAGTCAGAAGAGGACGTGCAGCTATTGGTGAAATTGCTGGTGCACCATGAATCAAATCCTTCCAACACGAAAAGAATAGCAATTAGTAATTTGAGAGAAAATGGAATGGACATGATCATCCACTTCAGAAAATCAAGGATGGGCAAATTTTATAAATTGAAGTTTGTGGGTTTCCTTAAAAATACCAAGTAAAAAAAAAAAGAAAAGAAAAGCTATTTTCCATGTTTGCATGTATTGCATGTTACCTGAGAAACTGGTTGCACGTATACAAGTTGCCCAAACCGTCCAACCATAACCTAAAATATGGCAAGAGGTTAGTAACTCCTAAAATTACCAGTTTATCAGAAAATTCTAATGTCTCTGGGATTAATAATGGAAACTGCAAGACAACTGAATGATGACACAGGTAGCATGTGTAGTCCACTAACAACCTGGGAATTTGGATTCAAGAATGGGGGTGCCGCTTGAACAGGATGATGCTGACCAGCATATCTAAGAGGCTGTGCCCGGGTTCCTATATGCCCAACTGTCTGTAAACAGCAAAAAATTCAGGTTAATATGATAATCAGCATAAATAATACAACTTCCCAATATATTCAGAGGCAATACATATAAAAACTGTCATCAAACAAAATTCAGTAAGTAATGAGAAATACAGAAGCCTCAGAACTAACCAATGAAAAACTAGAAAGTAAAATTGATTTTGGTTGTAAACATAACATTTCAACCTATTTTCCGCCTGAGAGATCTGCACAACTATGCAAGTTCTCTAACTCGAGAAGGCTGTGCTTGAAAATTTATGGATAGTTCAAAAATGAGATTATTCAGAAAACCAAAAAATAGTTCTTGACATGATGAAAAGGGTAAATCTAGTAAGCAGATGCATCAGAATGTAAAAATACACAGAGTATTCATAATCTTGACTGGAAGGAAAAAGAGAGTAGACAGAGAATGGGAGAGGATATGTTCTAAACCAGAAGTTGCACAGACACATCAAAATATATGATCTAACAGCGACAAGGCCAACTCCCAAAAAAAAATTTAAAGGAAGTCCAAGTCGCCTGATAGTACGTACAGGTTGAGAAAACTGAGAAACACCACCACCAGTGCCTGCTATCAAGTTACTGTAAGGAACAAACTTAGATGGTGGAGAAGAACGAGGGGCAAAAGAGCTTATTCCAATGTCTGGCTGAGCAGCAGCAAGTGCTACGATTGGAGGATTGCCTGGTGCACAAGCCACGTTTGCAATTGTTGGCATAGTAGGAGTTGCTGATACCTGATTTGCAAATGATGGAGAGAAAATTTTTGCTCCTGGGTTCAGCTTAAATTCCTGCAGGGCAACAAGTAAGAAAATGATTTTAACTTGCAGATGCAAGAAATCCAATTGTTCAATGTATA